TTTTTTTTTTAAATTTTTTTTTTGTGTGGGGGGGGGGGGGGGTGAATAGAAAGTTCAAACAACAGCATTTATGTGAAATAGAAACATTATAGATGTCTTTACTATTTGATCAATTTAATGTGTTCTTTCTGAATAAAAGTATTAATTTCTCTTGGAAAAAAAAACTTTCTTACCCAAAACGTTTGAAAGGAAGTGTACTATTTATAGCACGTTTGGATCTGTTGTTCTGGAAATGAAAGCAAAGTTTAGTTGGCACACAGTCCATCTTAAGAAAGTGGTGAGACTTAACCGTATGATTTTCTGTGCATTTTGGATAGTTGCCTGTTGGAAAATCATAGTATTATTTGTACTTCCTCAGTTTATGATTTGTCATAAATTATATCTTATGTAAAATATTGCATAAGTTGCGGAGGAAATTCTCTTAGACTGCCGTCTTGGCATAATAAATTGATTGAATTCAAGAGATGTCCCTCTAAAGTCTCATAGTGTCCTTTTGGCCTCTGTGATCAGTGCAGGTTTTTAGATCAGGTCCATCTACAGTAACATGAATCTATCAGTGCATATCGTAAATAAAACCACACTGTTTTATCCATCAGCACAGCATTCTTGCGTATCACCATGCCATTTAATCACAGACAATGCTGCCCTCTAGTGACAAAAGCTAGTTCTAGTTTACTCCAGTGTTCTGTCTCCCCCTGCAGGAAGCCCTGTGACACTGAGAGTAGATGGAGGAGAGTCTCAAGCCATGCTGCCCAGTCTGACCCCTGGAGTAACTTACCAGGTCACTGTCATCGCTGTGAAGGGCTTGGAGGAGAGTGAACCAGGATCTGATAGAGTCACAACAGGTATGGCTAGAATAATTTTTTATAATCAGTGTTGGGTGTAATGCAAATACAAAGTAATTAGTTACTGTAATTACTTTTAAGTCAAAATGTAGTGTAACTTGATTAAATTTTAATTCTGTAATCTCATTACTATTTAATGATCTTAAATTACTTTAGTTACATTTAAGTTACTTTATAGCGTTTTAACATGTTTTTTAAATTAAATTAATTAAGGTGCCTTTAAAGCATGAATTATAGGCTACCTGTCATGAGCGAGATCTATAATATAATATGCCTATAATATGTATATTATATGTGATATGTATATTACATAATCATATGTATTATCTGAGGTAGAAATGTGAGGTGCTGAGTGTATGACTTATACACAGTGATGAACAAGCAGGAAACAGACACAATATTTCAGTTTGTTGAGAGGAAATGTTTTTTTTAAGTAACTTAACTTAAAAATTAGTAATGCAATTGCTTTTTGCAATTAAATAATTAATATTAAATTTTAGAGAAGAAATAAGTCATTTGTAGTGCATTATTATTTTTGAGTAACTCATCCAACACTGATAGTAATTTCACAAATTGCATCATCCTATAGTTTAAGTAATAGGAAAGCTCTCACCAAAATGCTTATCAGCAAGAGTGAATAGTTATTATTAATTATTAAGTAATTGAACATTAATATAAAAACATTCATATTAATTATAGTTATTTATTCATTAATAATTGTACTATTATAAAATAATAAATAATTATTTATATTTTTTATTTTTAGCACCTCATATTCATAACTAGATTCTGTATTATTCAGTACAGTAAGTATGATTTTTTTGCTTTCCTGTCTTGCAGAAGCCTAGTAATCGACTCCAAGCTGTCTCTCGGTGATTTTGCTTCTCTTTTGTCTCTCATGTTTGTGTCTGTTGGCCTTCAGCCCTGGATAAGCCACGAGGTCTGACAGCAGTCAACATCACTGACACTGAAGCTCTGCTGCTGTGGCAGCCGTCCATCGCTACTGTGGATGGATATGTCATCACTTACAGCGCAGACAGTGGTAACAGCTCAGACTGCCATTAATTATTCTTGAGGGAAGGCTGTTTCTATAGACTAAAACAATAAAGCAGTGAGTCTCAGTTGTGTGTTCTGTTCTTTGGCAGTGGCTCCAGTGATGGAACGGGTATCTGGGAACACTGTGGAGTTTGAGATGAGCTCACTCACACCTGCCACCTTATACACCGTTAAAGTCTATGCTGTCAGAGAAGCAGCCAAGAGCGCTGCAACCACCACAGAGTTCACCACAGGTAAAGTGAACACTCACCCTTACACACAAACACCACAAGACATCTGAATACTCATACAAAATAAATATTTCATTGGTGTAGAGAAAAACAGCACACCTTCTGACATCTGATCCTACTTGGCAAAATACATAAGCACCCTTGACCTGGTGAAAATCATAAAATCACATTGCCAATTATATGTGCATGCTTATACCATTTGTATTTCATTAAGAATTCTGAATGCCAGGTTAATAACCAGATACACTCTGCTGCAGATGTTGATGCCCCTCAGAATCTGGCTGCCAGTAATATTCAAACAGAGAGTGCCATGTTGACATGGAAGCCACCAAGAGCAGACATCAGCGGGTATATTCTCAGCTTTGAGTCCACTGATGGCATTGTCAAGGTGAGGGGACCGCTTGAACACACAACCAAACTTTAAACGTGATTTACACACTTAAAACTGAAGCTTGGTAATTTTTCTGGTCTACAGTGATTATTAAATGCATGGTCCAATGCCAATTCTGTGCTGTACTGAAATGTTCCTCGTTTTCTTCTCTTGGCTCAGGAGGTCGTCCTCAGCTCCACAGCAACATTTTACAGTATGTCTTCGCTGACTTCCTCCACGGTGTACACAGTCAAACTGCAGGCCATCGCTGGGCCAAAGAGAAGCAGAATCATCTCTACAGTCTTCACCACCAGTGAGCCAAAGCACAACGTCATTACATGATCACAAACTCTTTTTTTACTCTTAGTTGTGAAGACTGAACAAAAGCCTCTGGTCAAACACTTTTTTCTTTATCACAGTCGGAGCATCCTACAAGCATCCTAAAGACTGCTCGCAGACTCTGTTAAATGGAGAAACAACCTCAGGCCTGTACACTATTTTCCTGCGTGGAGATGAGACTCAGCCTCTGCAGGTCTACTGTGATATGACCACTGATGGAGGTGGCTGGATTGTGAGTAATTCTTTTTCAAATAACATGCAGGATAGAAAGATTCACTGTTCTGATCCTAGAGAAAAACAACAAAAACACAAGAAATGTGTATATATATATAGTCTAAAGGTCCAATAAAAAGTTTGTTCAATATCACATTTTTCTGACTATTATTTAATATGTCAGGCTTTACAGGGTTAAATTAAAGTCTCATTACACACAGAGAGCAAAAACACAGGTCATTGTAATATTGTGGTACCTCCATTCAGGTTTTTGTGAGACGGCAGAGCGGTAAAGTGGAGTTTTTCAGAAACTGGAAGAACTACACTGCAGGCTTCGGTGACCTGAATGATGAATTCTGGTTGGGTATGTTTACATCTGTGCACACATATCAAATTGCTAAATTGCCCCAGGAAGTATAGAGGCCCTAAGGTATTACGATATGGTGTAATTTCGAACACGTTGGTCTACAAATCTCATTCCATGTGTCTGCAGGTCTCTCTAACCTCCATAAGATCACCTCGTCTGGGCAGTATGAGCTGCGTGTGGACCTCAGAGATAAGGGCGAGTCTGCGTATGCGCAGTATGACAAGTTTTCAGTCTCTGAACCACGCAGTCGCTACAAAGTGCATGTTGGGGGATACAGCGGCACTGCAGGTAAAGTCTTAGATCTTTCTCTGCTTCAACATATAGTTTTCATATTGTTTTTTAATTAATTTGTAATATTTTTGTGTTATATACAGTATATATATATATATATATATATATATATATATATATATATATATATATATCAATATATATATATATATATATATATTCCATGTGTCTGCAGGTCTCTCTAACCTCCATAAGATCACCTCGTCTGGGCAGTATGAGCTGCGTGTGGACCTCAGAGATAAGGGCGAGTCTGCGTATGCGCAGTATGACAAGTTTTCAGTCTCTGAACCACGCAGTCGCTACAAAGTGCATGTTGGGGGATACAGCGGCACTGCAGGTAAAGTCTTAGATCTTTCTCTGCTTCAACATATAGTTTTCATATTGTTTTTCAATTAATTTGTAATATTTTTGTGTTATATACAGTATATATATATATATATATATATTAGCCTATTTGAAATACTATTTTGTATTTTAAAGCCTTTGGAAATTCTTAAAAACACTCAAGATTAGTATTTTTGTATTTTCAAAATACATAAAACACGTTGTGCCAGTCAACCTCTTTATCAGGGTGCTGATTTCGTGCGTCAACTAGTTAGACACTCACCCTCCCCTGAACCCCAACATTCATACATGTGAGCTGCAGCTGTACAGCTCCATTCAGCATTGGGTGAGCGACTTTTCTGGAATGAGATTAGGTGAGGATGTCATGGTCAATTGTATTTGTTGAATAAAGTTAAAATAGTGCATCATTCAGATTTGCCTTCAGTTAACATGAAAGAATAAAAGAATAAATAGATATAAAAAGAATAAAAGAGCACAAACAAGGGGAAAAATAGCATTAGCCAATCAGTTTTGATAGTTAATCGGCTTGTCAAATGTGTTTAAAGCATTACTGCATGTTAGGGCTGGGTGATATGACAATTCATATTGAGGCGATTATATAAAGTGTGAATAGTTCAATCAAGTGTGAATTGATTTAACTTTTTCTAAATCGTTTATATAGAAAAAGGCCTATCGGTGTAAGCAAATGTATCTGCAGCAGAAAAAGAGTGGAAAAAGAATGGACAAATGATTGAGTAATAGAGTGTGATGTGCTTAATGCAATAGCACTTATTATAAGTGCAGTATGCCGCAAAAGGAAATTGAAGTTCACACTTGCACGTCAAGCAGTTTTTTGTGCTCCGAGATGAAGTGGAATGCCGACAAGTAGGCTACACTTTTGGCTTAAAGGCCCTTTCACACGGGACGCGGCAAGCGGTGGAAACACCACACAGCTGCCACTTTCTCTCGTAGTGGAAGCAGTTTGTGCAGTTGAAGCCTTGTTTATACTTTCACCAGCCTTTACACTGTGAACCTGCTGACTGCGCACTCCTCCCTAAATGGTCACGGCTTTTTTGATACTTGCTTGACATTTGTAAAATTCTGTGAAACGACAGGGGGGCGACTCAGAGTCATTGTTCTCCAAACCATCAGAAAGCAGCGGTAAGAGGAAGAAGTTTGCCGAGTAGTTTGTCAAACAATCATTTTGTGAGAAGTTTGTGAATAAATGGATTTCTTCACATATAAACTGATAAGGTGGTAAGACATTTTGGAGGACACATGTGAAAATATTTTTGAGTACACTACTTAAACCCACACAAAAGAATCATGTAAAACCCAGTAAACTTAAGATTATGACTTGTGACATTAGAACAAAACATACTGCATGAATATGATAAATAACATATGTATAACACTAAATTGAACAATATTGATTATTGATTACAGTACTGAGACAAACACTGAGGAATGGTACACCACAAAACATCTTCAGCTTTTGGTTTTATTGTTCATCAAAAAAAAACACAAAAAAAAAACTGAGCGTATAGTGTTAAATGCTATTTAAATGAATTCTAATTTTAAAATGTACATTTTAGATAAACGTTCTAATTTGAATAAACTTTCTATACAACAAAATAAACTTTACATGAAATAAATAAAAGTTTTAGTTTTGTAGTTTTGTATTTCCTACACATCTAAATGTTTTTTTCTCACACACACACACACACACACACACACACACACACACACACACACACACACACACACACACACACACACACATATATATATTAATTAAATTTTTGTGTGATATATTTGTTGTACTATTGTTAAGTTTGGGTTTTGTAAGATAGTTTGATTATAAAAAATACAGTAAAAACAACAACAAAAACAATTTTGTGAAATATTATTAAAATTTAGAATAACTGTATTCTATGTAAATATATTTCAAAATGTAATTTGTCAAAAATTGACACAATAATTTGTGTCAAAGCTGTGTTTTTAATAGCCATTACTCCAGTCTTCAGAAGTCATTCTAATATAACAGGTGTGCTGCTTAATATTTTTGTTGAAATTGTGATTTTTTTTTTCAGGATCCCTTGATAAATAGGAGGTTCAAATGAACAGTTTTTGTTTTGAAATACATTTTTTATTATTAATTTAATGTGCCCTTGCTGAATAAAAATATTACTTTCTTTACAAAATATATCTTACTGAGTCCAAACTTTTGAACAGTAGTGTATAATACATGTATGTATTATATATTATATTATGCTCAAAAGTAAATTGATCATTGCTAGTTTTAAAATCTGACTGATTTTGTAATAATTTTGTAATGCTCTTTTAAAGGTGACTCAATGACGTATCACCACGGCCGTCCATTCTCAACCTATGATAATGACCACGATATAGCTGTCACCAACTGTGCTCTGTCTTATAAGGGAGCTTTCTGGTACAAAAACTGTCATCGAGTGAATATAATGGGCCGATACGGAGACAACAGTCATAGCAAGGTACACATTTCATATGTGCTTTATCACCTGTCTAATAATACACAGTAGTCACAGATTTAGATTTAAAATTGTTTTATCTCCAGGGTGTAAACTGGTTCCACTGGAAGGGTCATGAGCATTCCATCGAGTTTGCAGAGATGAAGATCAGACCCGCCAACTTCAGGAATTTTGAGGGAAGGAGAAAGCGATCATAAACCAGTGCACTCCGGCTTGAACCAATCAACCCTCCTCTGCTGACCATTTGCCCCTTGTTTCTCCTGCATCATCTCATCCCCTTCATCTACCAAAGCCACTGCCAGGAGCCCAGCCTGCTCTTTACACTCTCCTATTCATGGAGAACAAGTACAAAAAAATGTTTTCACCCCCCCCCCCCCCCCCCCCCCCCCCCCCCCCCCCACCCCCACCCCCCCCCCCCCCGATGAACAAAGCAAAACATCTTGAGAGACAGAAATTTAGAAAATACCCTTCCCATTCAAAGCTACAGCCCATACACAGTTGTGTGTGTACCACTTCTGTGCATGTCAATCTGACAGTAAACCAATAGACTCATAGTGAAGTGTTTAACATTACACACTGTGCCTGTATATCATAAGCACACCAAAGACAGACACTCCAGTAACATCTATATAATAGGCTACAATGCCGACGGAGGGAAGATTTTGAGTTTGGCTTGGTGCTATCCAGTTTTAAAAAATAACAATATTATTCTTTCTGTATATCCCATACAATTACAGTGGAGAGAGTTGAATGTTTGTGTGTGGTAGTTTTGCATTAGAGCCTCTTCCCTAGACTGTGAATTAGCCTCAAGAATACTGTATCCTTTAACTTCTCAATTAGGGTGAGAGGTTTAATGGTACATGAAAAAACTCAGCATTTAAAATGCACAACTGCATAAAAAATATCTAGTGGGGAGGCTCAGAGATTTTTTTTTATCTCTTTCTAGTCTGTCTGTGACAAATCTAAGTACCCATGCTCTCTATTTTCTCTCTCCCACAACTCGTGCATTCATCCGTTCTGAAGTCAAGTGGCACGTTTCTGGTACCTTTACAGTACTGCTAAGTGTTCATTTATATGCACCTTTCGTCGTGTTTCCTGTACCCTATAACTATATTGGCATTCAGTCAGCATAAGAATCTTGAATTGTTGATTGTTATCCTCTAAAAGATTGAAATTAAACAAAAGTTAAGGCAGGACCCATCTTCAATCTTTGGTTTAAGTGTTCACCAGTTATGAGCTTGTATAATGTTCAAGATTCATAAAGGAAAAATAATGGTGAGGTTATTGGAATTAATTACCCTGCTATCGACTAAACCACTGAACCCTATACAATACCTGTGTAAATTATGTCTTGTTTTGGTATTTGAATATTTTTGTTTGTTTGTTTATTAAATGGGTGTACAACAGGTGTTTCTTTGTAACCCCTCTTACAATAAAACAGATTTTGTTTAATAAATCACGTTTGTGTAGTGTGCTTATTTGGACACTCAAAATGATACAAATGTAACACTTACAACTTCCACATGTATTCAAAACAGCCATTTCCTAAGTGCACACAAACTGCTGCTGCAGTTTTTCAGTTATGCACGGCAAAGTGCGATCACCCATTTATTGAGTTCGACCCAATAATAAGAGACCGTTTTGTCACTGTACCAATCCTGGACCATGGTAGCCAGGTAAAAGTGGAGGGGGAGAACTACTGTTTTTTTTTTCATGGATGGGATAATGAATGTATGTATGTATTTAAATTTATTTTATTTTCATTTTAATGTGCATGTTTCATGACCTCCCAAACTGTTTGGAAATAACGTCACGGCTGTGAGTGTCTACAATCAAAACACAACAGTGATGTTTCCTCTGTGTGCTCGTTCTACTGTTCCCTCACACTGTTTCCGCTTATCTTTTTGTCATCTTATAATATTTACTATATTTTTAGTTATTGATCACATGATCGATTTGAAGGTTTGGAAGGCTTTGCCGACTGCGCTGTATATGTTTGAAATATGAATTCAAATAAATGTACAACGTAGTTCTACCTCTAACAAATATATTTTTCTTGTGTGTGCTTCTCAATCTCAGTTTAAAATAGTTCATTGGCATTATATATATATATATATATATATATACACACACACACACAGAGCGATTACATAATACAATACATAGGCCTTTTATGCTTTTGAGGATATGTGGTACATTAGCTTGCTTAATTATTATATTTTTATGAAAAAATTCACTTAAATGATAATCAAATTCAAATTTGAGTTGTATCTGGATATTGATGATTGAACTTGTAGGAATTACAGTTTTAGGCAAACAGACTCACCATCGGATTCTGTTCCCCCTGTGTTTCTTATACAGGCAGGTTCTAACATTTATCAGACTGATGCTGGTGAACTAATAGCCCTTTTTTATCACATTATAATGTTTATTAGCCTATATATCAGAATCAGAATGAGCATTATGAGCTTTATTGCCAGGTATGCTTACACATACAAGGAATTTGTTTCTTCCAAGCTTCCACAGTGTAACAGAATGACAGTGACAGAACAAAAAACACAGATAATAAAAATAAAAAAAATTGAAAAATAGAACAAGTAAATAAGGAATAAAAATATACAAATCGACAATTGTATGTACAGGTATATAACAATAGACAGTTGTATGTACAGGTATATTATGTGCAAATTGAAATGTAGACTGAGTATGTGTGTTAGATAAGTGTATGAGTGAATAAATAGTGTGTGTTCCACAGTTATTGTCAAGTGTTCATGAGATGGATGGCCTGAGGGAAGAAACTGTTCCTGTGTCTGGTCGTTCTGGTGCTCAGTGCTCTGTAGCGTCAACCAGATGGCAACAGTTCAAAGAGGGAGTGTGCTGGATGTGAGGGGTCCATAGTGATGTTTAAGTATTGATCACAGGATAGATTTGAAGGTTTGATGGCTTTGGCCACTGTGCTGTGTATGTATGAAATATGAATTCAAATAAATAGAAAACGTTTCTATCTAGTATGTGTTTCTTGTGTGTGAGTGTGTCCATTCCAATTTATTGCCGTGATTGTTTACATACATAATACAAAACTATATATATATATATATATAATCTCTTTGCTCTCTGGGAAAGCACGGCAATGGGCCTCTTGTCAAGTCAAGTCATCTTTATTTTTTATATTCTCAATTATTATCAATTAAAAATAAATCTTATTTTTATTTTCACAATTGCATACTTTATGCATTATGCAATTGTGACAAAGCAGCTTTACAAACAGGCAAACTGCGTGTTTAACTTACCTGAAGTACTTACCTGATCTCCTTCTTTGATCTCCATCATCAATCTCCCTCGTTGTCTCCTTCATTAAGTTCCTTTAAAGACAGTTATAGTTAATATTGAATCTACGTGCCAGGATTGTGGTGTGTGAACTTACCTGTGTGTGCATGTGTGTGCATGTTCGTGCCTGCTTTCGGATACCAAATATCTCAGTCTGGTAGTTCCTAGCAACAGTATCAGCAAGCTTGGCTGTAATTATGAAGAGCTTATAATGAAAAAAAGATATCCTTTTAAAATGATTGATTTGGTTCCACAGATTACCTTTTTTTTATTATTAATATTATTGTTATTTTTATTTGTCCATATTTGTTTCTAATATAATAGTTTTATTTAGCACTACTGTTATTTTTATATATAAACTTATGTTCTGAGTCTTGTTACTAAAATGGTGTAATTTTTTTAAAGGTCTAAATTCTAATATATACAGTTGTGCTCAAAATTATTAATACCCTTGGTAAATATGATCAAAGAAGGCTGTGAAAATAAATCTGCATTGTTAATCTTTTTGATGTTTTATTTAAAACATTTTCAAAAACCTAACCTTTCACTGGAAAATAAGAATTTAAAAAAATATTATGAAATAAATGTTTTTCTCTAATACACATTGGCCACAATTTATCATACCCTTTATTCAGCACCTTTTGCAACCTCCTTTTGCCAAGATAACAGCTCTTGAGTCTTCACCTATAATGCCTGATAAGTTTGGAGAACATCTGACAAGAGATCAGAGTCCATTCCTTCATCCAGAATCACTCCAGACCCTTCAGATTTCCAGCTGCATGTTGGTGCTTCTCTGCTTCAGTTCACCACACTCATTTTCTAGGGTTCAGATCAGAGGACTGGGACAGCCATGGCAGATGCTTCATTTTGTGCTCAGTGACCCATTTTTGTGTTGATTTTGATGTTTGTTTTGGATTATTGTCCTGATTTTCGTTTTGAAACCCTCCCAAACAGCATGTGGTGATGTAGGTGCTATTTGATCATTTGTTTTTTGTTTTTTTGAGGCCTTCTGACCCCAAGACTCCACTAATCTCTGCAATTCTCCAGCTGTGATCCTTGGAGAGTCTTTGCCCACTCAAAGTCTCCTCCTCATCATGCATTAGGACGATATGGACACACATCCTCTTCCAGGAAGATTTGTAAAATTTTCTGTTGATTGGAACTTCTTAATTATTGCCCTGATGGTGGAAATGGGAATTTTCAATGCTTTAGCTCTTTTCTTACATCCACTTTCTAATTTGTGAAGTTCAACAATCTTTTGCTGCACATCAGAACTATATTCTTTGGTTTTACTCATTGTGATGAATGATGAATGGAATTTGTCCTTTGTCTTCCTTAATCTATTCATGCGAAACAGGAAGCCATGGCTGGATAATTTCATGTTCCTAACCCTGGTGTGATAAAAATGCAAATATGAATGAGAATATACTTCAGATATATTTTAATCAGAAGAATTTCTAGGAGTATCAATAATTGTAGCCATTGTGTAATAGAAAAATATTTATTTCATAATGTGATTTTTTTTTAACTTAAATTAAAAGTTAGATTTTTTGGAAATGTTTGAATGAAAGATCATATGGATAAACAATTCTGATTTATTTTCAGAGCCTTCTTTGATCATACTGTATATACCAAGGGTATGAATAATCTTGAGCCCAACTGTATATTTTATGTATTTATTAAAAAAAACTAAAATAGACTATAGAGAAATCAAATTATTTCTGGATACATTAATAAAGGAAAGTTAATGGTAACGGGAGATGCTGATGTAGTGACTCAGAAGTTGCTGATTCTTCAGTGTATGTGGAGCTTCACCAGCATCAGTCTGATAAATGTTAGAACCTGCCTGTATAAGAAACACAGGGGGAACAGAATCCGATGGTGAGTCTGTTTGCCTAAAACTGTAATTCCTACAAGTTCAATCATCAATATCCAGATACAACTAAACATTTGAATTTGTAAATTTGATTATCATTTAAGTTAATTAAAAAAAACATAATAATTATGCAAGCTAATGATGTAGTTGAGTAATTTTGCAGTAA